CCAGCCTGGTCTATCATAGTGAGTTCCAGGACAGCTGGGGCTACAGGGAGTCCCTGTCTCAAAAAGACCAAAAAATAAAAAATAAAAAAAAAAATAAAGATAGGAAGACAAGATAAATGAGATAGGGTAGAGGTTTTTAAACAGCTCTTTATCTGAACCCCATGGGCAAAGTCTGCCTCCTCTTCTTCCTCATCCTCAGCTGAGAAGGAAACTTTAGTTTTGTTCCACAGTGAGATTCTGAGCCCTCTTCCCCAACTAGGCTGATTGATGCTCTCTAGTATGCCCCAGGTGGACTCTAGCCTGCACAGGTAGCAGGTTTCTTTTATTTTTCCATTTATGTGGGTTTATGTGTGTGCATGTGTGTGCATGTGGAGGCCAGACGTTAAACTCAGGTGTTGTCACTCAGTCTCACAGGAGTCATCCACCTTGTTTTTTGAGACTCTGAGACCTGGGGTTTGCTAATTGGCTAGCTACCCCCCCCCACCCCCACTGATCTTTCTCTACCTCCCCACACTGGAATTAAAAGCATGTGCCACCACACTTGTATTTAAATGGGTGCTGGATCAAACTCATATCCTCATGCTTAAGCAACAAGCACTTTACTGGTTGAGGCATCTCCCCATCCTCCAGCAGGTCCCTTATGTAGCATTCTTACCCTAGAGAGATTGGCTTCCCACCCCTAAGGATATTTGACCAAGTCTAGAAACATTTTTGGTGTGTCACAGCATAAGGTTGCTACTGACATCTAGTGGGTGAGGTGAGGGATGTTGTTGTGCATCCTACAACCAAAAATAAAAAATAAAAAAATGAAAAATAAATAAATTCTAGGGCTAAAGAGATGACTCAGTGGTTAAGAGCACTGGCTGCTCTTATAGACGGCCCAGGTTTAGTTTTCAGCAACTGCATGGCAGCTAACAACAGTCTGCCACTCCAGTTCCAGGGAATCTGACACCCTCTTCTGGCTTCCAGGGGCCTTGTACTCACATGGTGGACTTATGTACATGCAAGCAAAAACACTCATATACATAAAAATAATTTATTATAAAACTTTTTTAAAGTTTTTTTCTGATCCTTGCTGGGCATGGTGGCACACACCTTTAATCTCAGCACTCGGGAGGCAAAGATAGATGGATCTCTGAGTTTGAGACCAGCCTGGTCTCCACAAGGAGTTCTAGGCTAGCCAGGGCTACACAGTAAGACCCTGTTCCCCCCCCCGCCCCCCCCCCAAATAATTTTTTTCTGACCTAGAACGTCAGGAGTGCAGAGTTTTGGAAAACCCTGCTCTGATGGGAGAAGAAGACACCAATTGGAGGTCTTGGGGAGGTAGCATTGCTGTTGAAACCACTTTTAGAAAGCTATACACAGTAACCATGTTCCTTTTCAGGGTTCATCTTGTGGAACGGGCGCCCCCCACAGTCTGCTGCTCTCAGAGTCTGGAAAGGTACTTTCTTCTGCTAACAGCTGGGAGGGTGGACTGTGGGTAGAGGGACCACTTTGAAGAGGCCAGAGGCAGGTAAAATACATACAAGTCAAAGGTCACTGGAGTCTGGAGGTAATAATTTCACCTCAGCTAATGGTTTTGGATGCATAAGAGTACGTGGACAAGAAAAACAGCTAGGTTTAAACTTTATTTCCATCTTTTATTAATCTAACAGACATGTAATTCATATTGATGAACCATCAGAATGCAGTGTTCATTATACCCAAGGTGGACATATAAGCAATGCTTAAATAGAGCCAGTCATGTCTATAAACATTAAAATTGAAAGACCAGACCAGTCAAAATGGAGAAGAGATGAAGGCTGTTGGAGAGCTAGCACCTACAGGGTATTGGAAAACAGCCTTGTCTGTGGCGTGGGTGAAACATGCGGAGCAACTCTCTGAGCATTATTTCATGTCGCATCGTCCCAATGCTCACAATCTCCCTACCCCATTGTCCCTCCCAACCCCTGCACTTGTCCAGACAGAGGACAGTTCCTTCCCCTTTAACAGAAGTGTGAGGCAGAGAGAAATGGGAAAATAAAAAGGAGATCCTGCCAAACCTATCCAGTCGCTGACCGCTCCACAGGGAGCTGACTCCAGTTTTTGTATGTTGTGAGAGTCACTTGCAGTGGTTCAGGTTCCCATCCTGTCTTAATCTGCAGTCAGGTGCACATGGGAGCAGGCATGCCAAGTGGTGAGAGCAGCTCACTCTGTAGGAGTCCCTTCTCTCCCTTCTTCCAGGTTGTAGATACTTAAGCTCTGATAATCAGTTAACCTCAGGCAGGAGAAATACAAGCTAAAAAGTTCAAGGGGAGTCAGGTGTGGTGGCACCTGTAGTCCCAGCCCTTGGGAGGCAGAGGCAGGTGGATCTCTGTGAGTTTGAGGCCAGCCTGGTCTACATAGTGAGTTCCAGGACAGCTGGGGCTACAGGGAGACCCTGTCTCAAAAAGACCCACCCCCCCCAAAAAAAGAAAAAAGTTCAAGGGGGCAAGAGACAGCTAATCAGGGAGGCTAGTCAGCCCGCCCGTCTGCCTTTCTGTCTGAAAGGTACCTGTACATGCTAGGCAAGTGCTCACCATTGAGCCACAACCCAGCCCACGACATATCATTTTTAAAACTCGGAGCCATTTGCTCAGCCAGACTTTTGTTTCTTTTTCCTCTTGAAAGATCCTGGAAATGTAATATATCTCATGATGCCAGAACCATCTGTGCATTTCCATTCTTCTGCAAAGTGACCTCCATGTTATCTAACTCTTGCGGCCCCCTAACTCCAGCTCTAGCTGACAGTGGAATAAGATCTCTCAGGTGGTCTCTCCCCGTTCTTTCTCTTGGAAAAGGTTCACAAGAAAGGGAGGTTGAAGCTGGGCATGGTGGCAGTCCCAGTAGTAGGGAGGTAGAGGCAGGTGAATCTCTGTGAATTTGAGGCAAGCCTGATCTACATAGTGAGTCCCAGGCTGAACAGGACTAAATAGTGAGATCCTGCCTCAAAAAAAAAGAAAAGGGAGGTTTTATGGCTTATTCTCCTAGAGCTCACTGTTGCAGCCCTGGGTAGAGCTTTCTCATCCCTCTGAAGAGATGGTGGCCTGTGTCCCTGTTTTAGTTTGAGAGTGAAACTTATTGAACCTTGGGTCTCCACTGAACTAAAGAAGATTCACTAGAAGCAAAACAGAAGGCATCTCAGGACCACTTTAGTGATAGCCATTTCTGTTACCTCCTGCTATTTCTACATCTTTAGCCATAAAGACATCTTTCCTAGAGGTCATTAGTTTTTTGGTTTTTTTTTTTTCATGGTATTGGGGTCAAACCAGGCCTCAGCACATTAGATAGGCATCTTCCACTGTGCTAGACCCGTAGCCAAGGTCATGAGATTTAATTGAACTCAGTATTTCTTCTTTGATTCTTAGATCTTACCTGGAGTGAAAGTAGTTATTGTTAATCCTGAGACCAAAGGGCCTGTTGGAGACTCTCACCTGGGTGAGGTAGGTATAATTCTCAGTTATATGCTAAAGTCAATACTGAAATATTTTAGGGACCATGCATTATAAATAAGCCAGTAGAACTGAATTTAAATTCCATTTCCTCCGTTGGGAATAGCTAGTGTTTTGACAAGCTGGCAATGAAAAAGGGCAGAAAGAGGAGACCGACTAAGATCAAGACTGGGTAGACAGAGTCTCAGATTTGTCCATTGCCACAAAAGTGGACAAAGCCTACCTGTTCCCACCTGTGAAGGGCTGCAGCTGCAAGGTGCCACATAAATAAATGTTATGACAGTATATTCTGGAATTGATTCCTTTTATTAGTATGAAAATCCTCTAAAACTTTTCTTCCTTTTCTCCCTCCCTCACAGTATTCTATCTCTGAGGAATACTGTTTGATCCTGTAGCTTAATGTGAGTAATGTTATGGGAGCCAGATAGCCGGCCTCTGTGATTTACTAGCTTTGAAATGTTGAGCAGGCTGTTTACCCTCATCAGGCCTGTTTCCTTGGCCATTAATAATAACAGCATGTGCCTTGCAGAAGGAATAAAATTTTGGAAACAGTTTTGTTGTTGTTGTTGTTGTTGTTGTTGTTTTGGTCTTTTTGAGACAGGTTATCTATCCCTTTAGCCCCTAGCTGGCCTGGAACTCACAGAGATCCACTTGCCTCTGACTCCTGAGTGCTGGGATCAAAGGTGTACACCACCATGGCCAGCTCTAAGAATAAAATCTTAGGCAGAGGCAGACAGATCTCTCTGAGATCAAGGCCAGCCTGGTCTACAGAGCGAGTTCCAGTCCAGCTGGGGCTAGAGGGAGACCCTGTCTCAAAAAAAAAAAAAACAACAAACCCAAACAGAAAACCAAACAAACAAACAAAATCTTGGAGACAGTTAAATTAATACCTGTATCTGCAATGCATACAAATAGGCTGTCCCTTGAGTTTTCAACAAATTCTAGAGGCTGTTGTTAAGATAGTTGTCAGCTGTTGCTCTGTTTACATTGTAAACTCAAATGTCCTGTGGTGGTGTTTAAGAGCTTTGTACCATGGTTACACCAGAAGCACAGAAGTCATGCCTTGCCTGGTACATTTGTGATACTCTGGAAGTAAAGGAGAAATGAACGAGTATGACCTAGTGGTGAAGAGCCCCAGCTTCTGGCATCAGCCAGTTAGAGTAGGGGCTCTCAATCCTGCATCTTAGGGGAATTCAGAGACTCCTTTTCTTTCCCTCTGTATAACGACAATTAACAGTGTGCACTGTATGGTCAGTCTTGTGTGTGAGGATTGATGGAGACCAGGCATGGAAAGTCCATCAGAGAATAAACACCCAGTCAGTGTCAGCTGCTCTTACTGTTGCAGCTCTATTGTCAATATAAAAGTGAGATTTTTTTTTTTAAACCAAGTAATCTGCCCCAGGAAAATTGAATTAAGGTTGTCTGTTCTTGGTGAAATGTGACCTGTTCCCTTTTCCTGTAGATCTGGGTGAACAGTCCCCACACAGCCAGTGGCTACTACACCATCTATGATAGTGAGAGTCTTCAAGCTGATCATTTCAACACTCGGCTCAGTTTCGGGGATGCCGCGCAAACACTTTGGGCCCGTACAGGATACCTTGGGTTTGTCCGCAGGACTGAGCTCACAGCAGCCACTGGAGGTATCTTCCACTATGGCTCCCTTCCTGGCTGCTTTGTTTCTGTAGCACTGGCTGGTCCATTCCACCTGCCTGTGGAGTGGAGAGTGTGTGCATTTAACTTCCCTCTCTGTGACTCTTTTATATTATTTTTAAATTTTTTATTTTATGTGTATGAGTGCCTGCAAATATACAAGTGTACTACTTGAATGCAGTGTCTGCAGAGGCCAGAAGAGAGCTTCAGATTTAGGTCTCACTTTGTACCCCTGGCTTACCTCAAATTCAACAGAGATGTACCTGCTACTACCTACCCAGTGCAGGGGTTAAAGGTGTGCACCACCACACCTGGGCTGGGAATTGGTTCTGAGGTGGATCTAAGCCTGTTTGTTGCCAAGGCTCTGGTAGAGGAGTCCCCAAAGTATCCTCTGCCCAGTTGATAATCATAACGTCTCTGCTGTCTGCTTTCAGACTTTTAATAGCCACTGCAAAATATTCAATATGAACTGTATTTTGCACATTGAAGAACTGACACAGGTAACATGCTAGGTTTTAAAAGCTTTGACTGAAACATACCATTTCTCTTTAGCTCTTTGTTCTAGTTTGCTTTTTGTCACTGTTATAAAACTCTGAACAAAACCAGTTTCGAGCAGAAAGGGTTTGTTTCATATTATTCAACCAGGTCGCAGTCTGTCATTGAGAGAAGTCAGGGCAGGATTTCAAGCAGCAACCTGGAGGAAGGAACTGAGGCAGAGGCTATGGAGCAGTGTTGCTTACTGGCTGGCTTCACCTGGAAGCTCATTTTCCCTTTTCTTTTCTTTTTTTCTTTCTTTTTTTTTTTTTTTTTTTTTTTTTTGAGAAAAGTGCTTCCTTGGACCCCACTTGGCTTGGAACTTACTATGTCGAGCAGGCTGGTCTCAAACTTGGAGAGATCCACCTGCCTCTGCCTCCTAAGTGCTGGGATTAAAGGCGTGCACCCTGACGCCTGGCTCAGCTAACTTTCTTAGACAGCCCAGGCCTACCTGCCCCGGGATGGCATTGCCCACAGTGAGCTGGGCCCTCCCACACCAACTAGCAATCCAGGAAATGCCCCACAGACATGCCCATAGGCCAGTCTGGGGGAGGCAGTTCTTCAGTTGAGCTTCTTCTTTCTGGGTGATCTAGTTTATGTCAGATCAACAGAAACTAACCAGCACACTCCTCACATCTGTTCTTACTGAGCAGCATGTACCATTTTTCCATATTTCCTGAGGACACTGTTAACACACTGGAGGAGAGGTTGGCAGTCCCTAGCCAGGTGCCCTGGTTTTTCTGCCCATCTCTGCATTTGCTCTGTAACTGTACTGTACTGTTCTGTACTGTACTGAAGACAGAGTATGTCTTCTGCCTCATGGAAAAGATGTGATTAAGTGATGTGGTGCATTCAGATGCCAGGAAAGTTGCTGGCACATAGAAAGCACTTACTGCTCCATTGTTGCTCTCTGTCTGCCATTGATTTTTTAAAAAAATATTTATTATTTTTATTTTATATGTTTGAGTGTGTTGTTTGCATGTAGGTAGGTGCACCCATGTCATAAAATTCCCCCGAAAGTCAAAAGAGAGCATCAGATCCCCTAGATAGTTGTTAACCTCCATGTGGGTGCTGGGAATTGAACCTGGGTTCTCTGCAAGAGCAGCCAAGCCAGTGCTCTTAACCACCGAGCCGGCTCTTCAGCACCTTTTGCTATTGATTTTGTCATCTTTTTTTTTTTTTTTGGTCTTTTTGAGACAGGGTCTCACTGTAGCCCCAGCTGTCCTCGAACTCACTATGTAGACCAGGCTGGCATTGAACTCACAGAGATCCACCTGCCTCTGCCTCCCAAGTTCTGGGACAACAGGCATGTGCCACCACACCTGGCTCCGCTGTCATCATTTTATTAACTCATCACGTGATGGGAATCTGCTAGACCTCATCATCCTTCTCTGCCCAACTGCTTTTGTCACACTGTTTTGCTAAAATTATCAGATACCTACTCTTTCCAGAAAACGTTGCAAAAATGATCTTCTCTTCTATGTCCTTGTGGGTCACAAACCTACCCTGGACTAGTTTTCATGTTCTGTAATCTTACTTTCTTCCTTGAAGTTCTGTGATGATCTCTAGAAACTGTGATAAATGGCCATTGCCCCTCTGCCTCAGGTCCTCTCTCCTTTTTCCTCCCCTCTCCAGCCGCCACAGACTAATTCCTGTTCATTTGTTAAAGCTCAGCCCTGGCTTCAGCATTTCCAAGAGCTCCTTAACCCTTGCTTGGTCACGGCTCATAGCTGTCCCCTGCTCCCATGAAGCTCATGCTTATTCCTGCCCAGCACTTAACACAGGTTAAGGTTACAGTGGTATGCCTGCTTGTGTCTTTTCCCCTTTCCCCCCATCCCATTAGATCTTTTTTTTTTTTTTTTTTTTTTTTTTTTTTTTTTTTTTCCCCTGTAGCCCCAGCTGGCCTGGCCTTGAACTCATAGAGATCCACGTGCCTCTGCCTCCTGGGTGCTGGGACTAAAGGCATGCATCACCACACCCGGCTTGACTAGATCTTTTTAAAAATTATTCATTTGTTGTGGATGTGCCTGTGTGTCACAGTACACATGTGGAGGTCAGAGTCCCCTCCTTGTGAATCCAGAGGAATTCAACTCAGTTCATCAGGTTTGTCAGCAAGTACCACTATCTGCTGAACTATGATTTTGTTTTTCTTATGTTGTTGATCTATATTTCTATTTTATGTGTATCAGTGTTTTGTTTAAATGCATCTGCATGTCCACATTCATGTTTGGTCCCTACAGAGGCCAGAAGAGGGTGTCAAATCCCTGGACATAACTGGAGTTATGGACAATTGTGAGCCACCATGTGGGTGCTGGGAACTGAACCCAGGTCATCTGCAAGAGCAACAGGCACTTTTAACCTCTGAGTCATTATTCTAGCCCCTGAAATACTTTTGTTTGTTTGTTTTAGACAGGGTCTCTGTAGTTGTCCTGGAACTCGTTATGTAGACCAGGCTGGCCAGGGATCTCCCAGAGATCTGCCTACCTCTGCCTCCCAAGTGCTAGGATTAAAGGTGTGTGCTACCACACTAGGCTTCCTGAACTGTATTTTATCATTTGTATCTCTTCAGCACTTAGCACAATTCCTAGCACATAATAGTAATAATAATGGTTACCTTTTAGTATTTACAACATACCACACACCATAACACTATCTTGTGTGAACTAAATCATTTAATTTTTAAAAACTGGGCCAGGTATGGATGAGCACACCTTTAATCTCAGCACTAGGGAAGCAGGGGCAGGCAGATCTCTGTGAGTTCCAGGCCAACCTAGTCTGTATAGCAAGTTCTAGACCATCCACGGCTACATGGTGCGACCCTGTCTTAAAAAAAAAAATTTCTAAAATTGTGTGTATGTGCATGATGTGTTGTATGTATGGGCACATGTGCCATGGTATATATGTGGAGAGAAGACAAATTTGTGGAGTCATTTCTCTCCTTCCACCTTTATGTGGATCTGGGACTTAAACTTAGGTCATTAGGCTTGCAAGGCAAGCACCTTTACCTGCTGAGCCAACTCACCATGACTGAATCATTTAGTCCTCTCAGCATCATTTATTCTTAGCCCTGTCTCACAGAGTGGTAGCAGGACTCAGGGCCTTACCAAATTTGCCCAAAGTCATTACACTGCTGGGGACTAGAGCCAGGTGATTGGCAACATGAACCCTGTGCTCCTTATACCAGCACTGTATTGTACTCAGGAGGGTGAAACATGTTCCTCTTCTTTCTTTCAGAACGCCATGACGCCTTGTATGTGGTGGGAGCTCTTGATGAAACACTGGAGCTGAGAGGATTGCGATACCATCCGATTGATATTGAGACCTCGGTGTCTCGGGTCCATAGGAGCATTGCTGAATGGTAATTTTCCTTATGCAAACTGACTGGTTAGGTAGCTATTTGTACCAAATTCCACCTACATTCAAGCTCCTTGCGAAGTCAGGAAATAAGTAGACTAACTTTTGTCTTGTTGCACAGCCTGCTATGGCTGACCAAGCCTGTTCACAAGAGGAAGAAAGGCCCTGGAGATGCTGTGAAACACTGATACATTCTATGGAGCACTGTGGAACTGAGTCTTTCTTTAAAGGCAGACTCTCATAAACAGGACTAGCAGATCATCTGCCTCTAGGAAGTCAGGATAATGTGGTAGGACGAACTAGAACTTTAAGGTCAAAAGACCCAATTTAAAAGTTCACCTTGGGTCAGTGAGATGGCTCATCAGGTAAAGGTGTTCACAGTCAAGCGTGCTGGCTGCGTTTGTTTCCCAGAACCCACATGTTGGAAGAAGAGAACCAACTCCCTACCTTTCCACATTGTTTTCCTCGTCTGTAAAATGCTTCCTTGCACTTCTGCTTATTGGAAGATCAAATGAACGTAAGCTTTAGAAACCGTCAGTGGGAAGCAGGTGAGACATTGGTATTACCATCTCTTGCTGTCCTAATCTCACGACAGGAATTCACCCTGCATTCCCCTGATCAGGGGTCATGTAGCCTCCTGTGGGTTTTGCCTACTGGTTTTCATTCTGGGTTCCTAATTACAAAGACTTCATCCAGTTTCATCTCTGTTCAACTCCTTTTGTCCTTCTGTCCTTCTCCAGCTTTTCCCCTATTGCGTAGCCACAGTTGTTTGGTTTGTTTTATCCTGATGGTTGTTTATGCTTTTCAGATACCCTTTATCTAAGATGTTCTTGTTGGGCATGGTAACACATACCTGGATCCCAGCATTAGAGAGGCTGAGACAAGATCATGAGTTCAAGGCCAACCTGGGCTATATAGGAAGGAGATCTTGCCTGTGCTGGATAGCTTTAGTGTCAACTTGACACACCTGGGTTGAGGGAGCCTCAATTGGGGAATTATCCCTGTCTCACAGAGTGGTAGCAGGACTCAGGGCCTTACCAAATTTGCCCAAAGTCAGCCAGGAGATTGGCAACATGAACCCTGTGCTCTTTACACCAGCACTGTATTGTACTCAGGACTGGCCTGTATGGGGCATTTTCTTGGTTGTTGAGTGATGTGTGAGGGCCCAGCCCACTGTGGGTGGTGCCACCCCTGGGCAGGTGGGCCTGTGTTACATAAGAAAGCAGGCTGAGCAGGGGCCAGGGGAGCAAGCCAGTAAGCAGCATCCCTCCATGGCCTGTGCTCCAGCTCCTGCCTCCAGGTTCCTGCCCTGAGTTCCTACCTTGGGCTCCCTGATGAACTGTGACCCGGGATATGTAAGCTAAATAAACCCTTTCCTCCCCAGGTTGGTAGTGGTCAGAGTATTTTGTCACAGCAATGAAGAGACAAACTAAGACACTGCCTTAAAACAAAGAGACAGAAAAATTGTTCTTTCTTGTCTTGGTCAGAGTTTCTCCCCAGACTTAACCATCTTTAGATAAAGAAGCATCCAAGAAGCATCAGAGAGGCAGGTGCCACACTGATCTCTAACTACATATTCAGCTTTCATTGTAGCCAAATACTATGTACAGCATCTTTAATAATTGGAATCTTTAAAAAAAAATGTGCATGAGTGTATTGCCTGCATGTATGTAAGTGCTGCAACCCATGTTGTACAGTGCCCACAGAGGTCAGAAGGGAGTGTTAGGTGTCCTGGAACTGGAGTTAGAACAGTTGTTAAATGCCATGTAGATGCTAGGAACCAAACTTGGGTCCTCTGTAAGAGCAACCAGTGCTTTTAACTACTGAGCCATCTCTCCAGGCCCTGGAATCATTTTTAAAAAGCAGTTTAACACTGCATATTACAAACTAGGTGTATTAGTCACTGTTCTGTTGCTGTGATAGAAACACTGACCTAAGCAATTTATACAAGGAAGAGTTTATTTGAGCTTATGGTTCCAGGGGAATTACAGTCCGTCATGGCAGGGAGACATGGTGGCTAGAGGTGGCTGGAGCAAGAGCAGCAGAAGCCAAGCTCTCACATCATCACTCAGGCACAGGAAGCAAGAGAGAGGACTGGTGATCTGGCAAGGCTTAAGAACTCTCTAAGCCCACCCCCAGTGACGTTCTTCCTCCAGGATAGCTACACCTTCTAAAACCTCCCAAAACAGCGCCATCATTTGGGGACAAAATGTCCAAACACTTGGAGCCTATGAGGGACATTTTCATTCAAACCATCACATTCCACCCCGGCCCCCATAGACTCATGACCAGATAAAATGCAAAATGCATTTAGTCCAACTTTAAAAGTCCCCATAGTCATTATCAGTCTCAATACTATTCAAAAGTCAACAGTCCAAAGTCTATTCTGAGACTCAGGTAAATCTTTTAACGGTAAGCCTCTATAAAATCAAAAGACAAATTACATACTGCCAACATTCAGTGAAACCGAATACACATTATGATTCCTAAAGGGAGGAATGGAGGCATAGTAAGGAAATACCGGACCAAAACAAGACCAAAAACCAGCAGGGCAAACATCAAACCCAGTAGCTCCACATCCAACTCCTGGTACTTTACTTCCAAAGGGCTTAGATGGCTCAGCCTCTCCAGCTTTGCTGTGTGCAACACACATCTCTCTCTTGTGCTGGTACCACTCCCTGTGTGCAGGTCTTCTTGGCAGATGCCTCACAGCTCTGGCATCACGAACTTCTTGGGGTCTCCACTGCCAAACAGGCTTCGCCTTCACAGCTTCATGAAATGGCCTGTCAGGGCCTTCTCTAGGCAGGGGCACCCCTGTTTCACGCTGCCTGGCCTTTGAGGCTCTCTGAAACCTGGAAGGAAGAATTGATGACCCCTTCACTCTTCCATCTTTCATGACTCTAAAGCCAGCACCAGGTGAAGGACACTGCCAAGTTTGACTGGAAGTCTGGGGTGGACTCCAGCCTGCTTTATCCATTTTAGAAGCTTTTCTCTTCAGTGGCCCCTGCAGCATTTTCCTTTCACAAGGTGGAGGCTTACCTGGGTGTGGTCTTGCCCTTCAGGCCCTCTCTCCATTGTTTAAGTTTGGATCTCTAGGCCCCTCCTTAATCACTTTAATCTCCTTATCAGAGGGATCCTCTCCATCACATGCCAGGGCTCCAACATTTATCTTCCTGGTGCTCTTCTTCAATCCAAACTGTACTTCTTTCTGCCCCATTTGCTCTCTTTCACTGTAGATCTGCATGATATTCATACCACCATTTCGACATTAGGCTGTCTTGAAATTTTTTCCTCCAGAGAAATTAGTCCATTGCTTTTCAACTTAGCCTCAGGCAAGCTTTTAGGTCGAGGGCAGACTCCAGCTAGACTCTGCCAAAATATCCCAAGTGCTGCTTAAATCCTTATTTCCCTCTGGAACTACATTGTTCTCAGCACTACTTTCTTCCAGGCGTTTACTACAATGGCCTGTTAAGCTCTGCTTACAGCAAGCAACCACTTTTCTAGGCCAGACTTCCAAAGTCTTCCACATTTCTTCAAAACCCCACATGGTCAGGTTCTTCACAGCCAACAGCCCACTCTCTGGTACCAATTACTGTATTAGTTACTTTTCTGTTGCTGTGATAGAAACACTGACCCAAGCAATTTATAGAAGGAAGAGTTTATTTGTACTTACGTTTCCAGGGGAATTACAGTCTGCCATGGCAGGGAGGCATGGTGGCTGGAGGTGGCTGGAGCAGGAGCAGGAGCAGCAGAAGCTAAGCTCTCACATCACGCAGGCACAGGAAGCAAGAGAACAACTGGAGATCAAGAGAATGAGAGAACAAGGCTTAAGAACTCTCTAAGCCCACCCCCAGTGACATGCTTCCTCCAGGATGGCCACACCTTCTAAAACCTCCCCAAACAGCACCATCATCTGGGGACAAAAGGTCCAAATACACCATACTAGGTCATACCTTCTGACCTAATAATCCACTCTGTGGACAGTGACTTTCTCCCTTGTGGTACTTTTACACAATAGGGGATACTTATATTGCAAACAACAGAAATTGCTTCAAGAAAGCTTACGAAAAGCCAGGTATAAAAAAGCTACATTGGGGGGGGGCGGATCTCAAAAGCAACAAGGAGACCTTAAATGAAAGAGTTTGTGGGAAAACACTTGGATATGTCAGTGTTTCTAAATTAACTCTTGAGTCTCAGAACAGGTTACGAACAAGGCTCAGCAATTAAGAGCACTTGGTTGCTCTTGCACAGGACCTGGGTTCAGTTCCTAGATGTGTCATACCCACATGACAGCTAACAACCACCTGTAACTCCAGTTCCAGGGGATCTCACACCTTCTCGACTCCATGGGCATTGCCTACACATAGTGTGTTTATATAAATGCAGGCAAAACACTGACACAAAAATAAATAAATCAAAAATTTTTTAAAAGAACAAGGGACGGGATTATTAGGAATTACTGGCCTACTTTCTGATGCCATGTGAGCAACTTTATTCATTCTCTCTTCCCCTGAAGAGTTTCTTTATACCTCTAGCTAGCCCTGAACCATCACACACATGTATCCTGGAGTAACAAGCTAATGACTTTGAATCCTACTGTCAGACTCCCAGGAAATTTGGAATGACCCAGCTAATCAGCTGTATATTAGGGCACACTCATATACTGTGTACATGGCTGCTGGCCTTTTGATTGAGATCTAAGAGAGAAAGCAGATGTCAGAGAAGTGAACATATATCTCAGAAGGTACTATGAAGGCGAGAGCTGGTGAGATGGAATAATGGGTAAAGGCGCTTGCCATTGAGCCTAATGATCTTGGTTTAATTCCTGGGACCCACACTGTGAAAGGAGTTGTCCTCTGACCTGTGCACATACCATGGCACATGTGCCCCCTCACACATTTATATACATACACCCGCAAAATAACTATAAAAATTGTTTTAAAAGATAAGTAGTAATGTGATAGCATATTAACTGGATGTCATTGAAATTTCAGTGCCGTGTTCACGTGGACCAACTTGCTGGTGGTAGTTGTGGAACTGTGCGGCTCTGAACAGGAAGCCCTGGACCTGGTTCCTCTAGTGACCAATGTGGTCTTAGAAGAGCATTATCTCATCGTTGGTGTGGTGGTTGTGGTGGACCCAGGGGTCATCCCGATCAACTCCAGAGGAGAGAAGCAGAGGATGCACCTCCGTGACAGCTTCCTTGCTGACCAGTTAGACCCCATCTATGTGGCTTATAACATGTAGCCAGCCTTGTGGGGGCCACAGAGGCCATCCTAAGGGCCACAGAGACTGAAGACCCGTGGCTAGGATCCAGCTTTCAGCTGGTGTGAAGTAAGCCAAGGTGGCTATGGTATAGCCTTCATCTCATCCTGTGGAATTCTGCAGTCATACAACACCAAGGAAAGGGGAAATTCTGTGCAACAGCACGTTACTAAAGCAGTTACTTGCATGTTGCATTTTCTTCATCTGGTGTACATACTTGTATTTTTACCTGTTTTAGAATTTTATAAGGGAGTTTAACAAATTCACATGAGGGGGTAGTCCACAGTTCCCCACTCTGTACTGTATTTTGCCATTTTCCTGTAGCTAGGTGTTCTGCAGGGCTTGTTAACATGAAACTACTCAGCTTGAGTCAGCCCATAAGCCAATCAAGTAACCCACTGAATATGAGAATTGCTTTATATATCTAATTTTTGATTATACAGCATTTGACCGGTGTTTTAAACATGTAAATAAGAATGCACATAATTCAACTAAATCATTGAAGAATCGGCTTGTATCATAACAACCACCGAAGCAGAACTGCGTCTACTTGGAGCGGATTCCACTGTAGTAACTGAGTAGGTAACCGAAGGTGCAGCTCCTTTGCAGCTCTCACTGCTCATCCTTTTGTCTGTTGGCTGGTGTACTTTACAAACTAAAGCTGCCTGTTTTTAAACCTTGCATTTCTGGAATTAGCTTAAGCTTCTAAGGATGCAACACATTCCTCTGAGCTGAAAAATCAAAATTTTGATTCCTCAGACCCTAGCCTATTCTAAAGAACCACAATAGCTCACTTGGGCCCCAGTGCAGACACTGTCTTTCACGTTTAGTGTGACTGTGGAATTTAAAATTTCCTCTCTTTCTGAACTCTTTGTCAGCTCTTGTCTGCCATTTACACACAGATCTTCTCCCTCATCCCCAAAACTGAGGAGTGGGACTCTGTCCTCAAAGTCTGTGAGGGCAGGAAGTTTAAAGCAAGAATGTTGGGCTGGGAAGGCAGTGGGTCAGCCAGCACATGGAACTGTGAGCCACATATGCAAAACCTTAACCCCTGAGTGGTTTAGGTTGCCAGAACAGCCAGGTTTGTGCTGAAACAGGGAAGTCCGTATGCAAGAAACTCTGAAATAACAGGTGCCCAAGCCAGGCTCAGTGTAGGACTGAGTTTGGCCTCTGGCTCAGTTTCCTTTCATTGGTCTGATACTTCATATATTTGAATATAGTTAAATTTTATTATTTTTTTCTTAAAGAAATATTTTTAAAAATTAAAGAAAACCTCAAAAGTGAAAAGAATTAGCCTGTTAAATCAGAATGGTTCTCTTTGACCCATTCTGGTCTATTATGTAAATATTTATTTTGATAATGCATATTATTTACCCCACTGTAACATCATGTAAACTAAATGTGTTTTTAAGCAATTTTTAAGACTTGTAATTACCCTGAAAATAAGGTTTATAAAGCAAAGACCAGACTCTTGACCTGGCAGCACTAATGGGCTGCCTTCCCAGTCTCCCACTCACAGACACTATGACCCCTTTTACATAGTCCTCTTCTTCCTAACTCATTCTCCACAGAGGGAAGACCACTGCACTTCCAGATTCAGATCTCTGACATTTTGGATAGGATTAACTAAGGTGATGAAGTGCTAGGGTATACAGGAAGGTAATGCTTCTGTTGGGTAGTGTGAAATCTCAGGCTAGCAATGGACTGATTTACAAAGAAAACAGCCTCTTATTTGGGAAGTAGTTCTTTAAAGCTATTTGCTTTGCTTTGTTCTTTAGTTTCTAAGACAGGATCTTGCCACATAGCCCAGGCTGGCCTTCAATTTGTAATCCTTCCTCCCCAGTGCGGGATTACAGGCCAACACTACACACTTGGCTCTTAAGGCAGTTTTTAATGATTCACTTTCTAAAGCAGGGTAGCCTGGATATTAAAAAGTTCCATGCCAGTAACCCCCAAGTTCCAAGAAAGTACATAGACTGATTCTATGAGTTTATTGAAAATTCTTATGAATACAACTTTAAAGTGTCACCATCTAGGGAAAGATTGTCTGCAATAATGTAACTCGAGCCACATTTGTAATTTAAACTTTCTAATAACCACTTTTTCTTTTTTTTTTGGAGACGGTCTCACTGTGTAGCCCTGGCAGGCCTGGAGATTGACATATAGCCCTGACTAGCCTGGAACTCACAGATATCTACCTACTTCTGCCTCCTGAGTGCTGGGGTTAAAGGCGTACACCACCATGACCAGCTAACCACATTTTTAAAAGTTTAAAAAAAAATGCATGTGGTAATGATTTTAATGTATTTACCCAAAATACTATTATTTTGGTATGAATAATTTAGTTATTGAGATATTTTCCATTCTTTTTAAAAATCAATCTTTGAAATCCCATGTGTATTAAACACATTTTAGTTCGTACTAGCCACATTTCAAGTCTTCAGCAGCCAGGTGTGGCTAGAGGCTATACTGGCCTATATTCAGTCCTCCAAGTGCAGTCCAGTACTTTGTTCATCTCAGTGTGGCTAGCCCCTAGTTACTTGGGGGATAATTACCTAGTTTATCATTCCTCAGTCATCTTTTTTTTTTTTTTTTAACAGTACTCTCAGGGCATTGGCCTTGCATGTACTAAGCAGGCCTTCTGCCACTAAGCTCATCCCCAGCCCTTGGTTTTTTTGTTGTAATGTAGCCCAGGATGGCCTGGAACCCCCAATCTTTCTTCCTCTGGGTCCTGAGTTCTGGGATTGTAGGCATGCTTCTCCATGCCTGGCCTCAGGTCCCCCTTTTTTTTTTCCTTTCTGACTGTGACTACCTTATTTTTATTTTGGTGTTGCTTTGTTTTGTTTTATTTTTGGCCCATCCCCCAAAGCTAGACTGTGTTAATAGAGGAACAGAAGTTGAGAGCTGCCCTTGAGCTGTCCTTGTAAGTCCTCCTCAGGAACTGGGAAGACCCTGAAGGGAGAGGAATATCTACCTCACACCTCCCGGATGGGGTTTGTGGGGTCAGCTGAACATTTAAGGTCTATGTCAGACTTGAGCTTTTAAAACAACAACAACAAAAACATTTCTCTTGATGACAAAATGTTCTTGCCCTTTCCACATTCGGTAGAAACTGTGGTAGAGCTGACTCTGAAGGCAAAACTCCAAGTCAGTTATTCACGGAACAGAAAAGGCCCACAGCCCTTCCAATCCTAGAACACTGTCTGAGGAGAGGCACTAAACCAAGAGCAAGCCCCAATTTCAATTACAAGATTAAAACAAAACAAAATGCCCTTTTTTTTTTGAGATGGGGTTTTGCTATGTGTATGTAGCCTAGGCTGGCTCACCTGACAAGCAGTAACTGAGGTGGTTCAGGAAGGGGCTGCATGAGGAAAGTTCTAGGCCCTAGGGATTCTTGGAGCTGCACCACGCGTCTTTTGCTCTGGAGCCCTTAGAATGCCCATCCTGCTTCAGCAGACGTGCAGTCTTTAACTCCTGTGCACAGAGCCCCCGGTTCTCCCCAGTACCAAGTCCTTTCCTCCTGCAGTTGTGTTGCAGCTGCTTAGGGACCTTGGTTTGTCTCCTCACTTTAGTCCATGGTAGTGCTTGTTTAATGCTTTCCTTGAATCAACAAAGGGCCTGAGGCCTTAGGCTTGTGTTAAGGTCTCTGCCCCAGGCATGGTGCTCAATATCTTGGCCAAATAAGTTACTTTCCTGGACTATCCAGGAATCTTTTAAACTAAAGCAATGAGGAGTTACTACCTTACCCTCAAACGCTGACATAATCTATGCCTTAGTGTTGTTTTTGTTGTCTGCTTGATGTAAAAGCAAGAATATTTGGAGCAAGAAGCTGCAATACTCCAAACTCAAACGCCTTTATCATTCGTACATTTCTGGTTTAGGTCTGTGTAGATGGGCCATGTGATTTGTCCAGAGGAAGAGACTGTAAAGAGATATGAATAAGTTTTTTAGTCCTAAATGCTGTGTTGTTTACTTTGTCAAGATGATAATTACCCCTGTCAAATTCAAACTATAGTACTGTGTAATTATGTATAAAGTCTTTTATTTATTTGAAATTAGATTAGATATACATTTTTAAATTTAACATCTGGCTGGACAGTGTTCTATTAACTCATTGAATGTGTTTCCTTTGTCTTGTGTTAATAAATATTGATGCTTGATTGTATTTAATCCTTCATACATTGGGTGGGGTTCCCCCCATGTGTGCGTGTGTGTGTGTGTGTGTGTGTGAAGTGTAGTGTAGTGTAGTGTTGGAATTAAACCCCAGGTCTCAGGCAGGCTGAGCATTCTTTCTAGCACTGAGCCACACATCCAGTCCAGGAATTGATTAAATGTAAAGTTGGGCTGGGCATGGTGGTGCATGCCTTTACTCCCAGCACTTGGGAGGCAGAGGCAGGTGAATCTCTGTAAATTCAAGGCAGCCTGGCCTACATACTGAGTTCCAGGCCAGCTGGGGCTACAGGGAGACCCTTTCTCAAAAAGATCATAAGAAAAACAAAAAGTAAAGTTGGGGAGGAAGCTCTGCAGTGGTCTAAGGAAATAACAGAGCTCTGAACTTGGTGGTATTAGAGGAGGTTAATGAGCAGTAGTGTTACTCTGAAAGCCCAGAGGGATGTTTGCTGTCAAGATTTTTCTTTTTCCTTTTTTTAACCTTGAAAATCTTTTTTTCCTTCAGATTTTATTACTTTTTAAATTTTTAAAATTTCAGTACATCTTGTTTATCTTGGTGGGGGAGTGTTGTGGTATGTATGTGGAGGTCAGAGGCCAACATTTGGGAGTCATCTTTTGGGAGTCCACTTTTGGTACCTCCATCTACCATGGAGGTCCTAGGGATTGAACTCAGGCCACCAGACTTGGCAGCAAGCATCCTTTACCTCTGAACTATCTTGCCAGCCCAGTTGTCAGGATCTTTTCAAGATAACATTTATCATTTTTTGCCTCTGACCATGTGGCATTTGTAGTTTTATGGTCTGGATCTTACACTGGGTGCTTTCTAATCTGTAGTTGGGCTAGATTTTGGCCTTTCTTCAGGTGAGGCTTCACTTGTTCTTCTACTTCCTATTTTCAGGAAACCTGAAGAGAACCCATCAAACTGTGCTCACAGACATTTGAAGTTGGTTTTTGAAGTATAGGCCAAGCTCTTTTAACAGCTGAGGACATTTTCTTTTTCCACCTAAACATTTATCAAGTGCTAGCCCCAAGCACAAGGCACTGTGATAAGAGCTGCAGCTAGAGAAAAATAGGAAGTCACTGCCCTCAAGGAGATACAGGACCCATCAGGACATGCAATGAAGAGCTGGAGCAGAGTGGGCTATGAAAGTAGGTCCACAGGCAGCAATCCAGTGGCCAGGGGGGGCAGTGAGAAATTGTGTGCCGGAGGGTATCTGAACTGAGATTTGTTTTGTTGGTTTTTTTTTTTTTTTTTTTTTTTTTTTTTTTTTTTTTCAGTGATAGAGGCTTTTGTTTTAACTCTAGCGATCGGAACTCACTGTAGACCAGGCTGGCCTTGAACTCAGAGATCCAACTGTCTCTGCCTCCCGAGTGCTGGGATTAAAGGCATGCACCACCATGCCCAGTTATGTTTTAATTATTTTTAAAAAATTTTCAGTGTATGAGTATATACACATGTATATAAGTGCACCTGTGCTGTGCAATGCTTGTGGAGGTCAGAAGAGGGCGTTAGATCCCCTGGAACTGGAGTTACAGTTGTTAGCTGCCATGTGGCTGCTGGGTCCTCTGCAAGAGCAGTCAGTATTGCTCTTAATCCCTGAGCCATCTCTCCAGATTTAGTTTTTGAAGACATTCTCTAGTCTATGTTGGCCTCAAGCCATGTGATCCTCCTGCCTGACCTTTCTAAGCACTGGGATTAGAGCTATGAGTTACCATGCCTGTACTGGACTTAAAAAAAAAAAAGTATTTATTTTATGTGTATATTTCCTGCAGGTATGTCCACCCGTGTTGGGGAGATCAGAAGAGGGCATCAGATCTTCTGGAACTGGGGTTATGGATGCTTGTTAGCCACCACATGGGTGCTGGGAACCAAACCCTGATCCTCTGTAAGAGCAGCCAGTGGTCTTAAATGGTGCGCTATCCCTCCATTAGTTAGTTAGTTAGTTAGTTAGTTAGAGACAAGGTCTCCCTGTAGCCTCATCTTGCTCAGAACTCACTATGTAGACCAGCCTATCCCCAATTTCTCCCAGAGATCTGCCTCTGACTTCTAAGTGCTGAAATTAAAAGCATGTGCCACCACGCCTGGCTGATGCAAGGTTTGAAGAGATAAAAGACAAATATAATTAATGGAGGTTTGAACCAGGGATGAACTAAGGGTCTTGTGTATCATTCCAAAAGTTTTGAACTTGTATCCAGGAGGGGTGGAAATGATGTAACTACAGCACTCAAGTATTAAAACAATTAATGAAGATGAAGCTGCCTGTGCAAGATCCTGTTTGGTTCAGTTTTCTGTACTGAAAAAAAAGGTGGGGAGGGGTGCTGGACAGATGAGAATGGCTCAGCAGTTAGGAGCACTTGCTGCTTTCACAGAGGAACTCTCAGGTTGGGTTCCCAGCACTCACATGGCTCACAACCACCTATAAATCCAGTTCCAAGGAATTTGATGCCCTCTTCTGGCCTTTGCAGGCACCAAGCATGCAACTGATGCAGATGCATTCATGCAGGCAAACACTCATACATAAAACTTCTTAAATGTGTGAGTGTTATGATTGCATCTAAGTGCATTTATGTTGTGCAGGGCCACTGGAGGACAGAAGAGATCGCTGGATCCCTGGAACTGGAGTTATGGTTAGCATGTGGGTTCTGGGATTTGAACCCGGGCTGCCGGTGCTCTTAACCGCTCGCTGAGCCATCTCTGTATCCACACACATTACTTTTTGGGGGGGTCTTTTTGAGACAGGGTTTCCTTGTAGCCTCAGCTGGCTTAGAACTTGATATGTAGACCAGGCTGGCCTTGAAGTCAGAGATCTGCCTGCCTCTGCCTCCCAAGTGCTGGGACTACAGGCGTGCAATACTATGCCCAGCACATAACTTTTTTAACTAAAGAACTTTTATTATTTTTTGGGACAGGGACTGTGTAGCCCTGGAACTCACTATATAGACCATGCTGGTCCTCCTGCCTCTACCTCTCAAGTGCTAGGATTAAAGGCATGCACCACCACATCCGGCTAAAATTTTAACTTTATTTTTATTTTTTTGGTCTTTTTGAGGGTCTCCCTGTAGCCCCAGCTGGCCTGGAATTTGCTGTGTAAGACCAGGCTGGCCTTGAACTTAAGAGATTCGCCTGCCTCTGCTTCCCAAGTGCTAGGACTAAAGGCATGCCCTACCACGCTGGATCTCCAGCCCCGAAATTGAAAAAAAAAAAAAAAAACATTGCTGTGCACTCAGCAATTCAAATGTTAACGGCACCGTATTTCATCTGGGGTGTCACGTAGCCCACATCAGCTTTAAAGTATGTAGTTGAGGATGACTAACTTTTTGGTGGACAATCAAATCCAGGGGAACGCAACCATGCTAGGCAAATACACGTCCTCAGCCCAACCTTGAATTTACATCCTCTTGCCTCCACCTCCTGAGATTACAGGGATGTGCTACGCTACTGTTTTTGTGGAACATACAACTGAGCTGCAGTTGACGTGGAAGCCCAGGGTTCTGTCCCCGGCACTGGGGGAACATTAACAGGGAATCCCTCGAGGACCCCTTTTTCCTCTAAGAAGCACGTATGGCAGTGTTGGTCAAGGCCACGGACCCCAACAGAGGCGGCCAGAGCTAGAACACCGACCCACACCTGAATGCAGCCTGAGACCAACCCAGGCGCCTAGAACCTCCGGAAACAGGCCTGAGAACCTTAAAACCCCGAGTCTTGGGCGACTTCCAGCGCCACGCGCGCGGCGAGTCACGTGGGCACGAAGTGACGCAGCACGTTGGGCGGTGCAGACCCCGCCTCGCTCCCCCCACGCTCCCTTGTACTGTCAGTCACCCCCCTGCCTGGTGCGGATCATGCCGCCAATGGCGGCCCACTCGGCCGAGAAACGGTAGCCCGGGACAGTTGACTTAAGTTACACGGCTTCTCCCCGCCCCACTGACCCCAGAGAGAGGTGCGTCCTCGCCGCGGTCGGGGGGCCGGGAAGTAGGGAGTAAGGTCGGCTCCACCTGGGAGGGGGAGTGGAAGTTCCCGCCCCGGGCAGAAGCCAGGCGACACCGTAGGTAAGTCGGGGCGGCGGGCAGCTAGGCGTTCCGAGCGGAAGCGCGGCGTGGTGGGGACGCAGCGGCGGGCGCGTGCCGGCCGGGGGTCGCGCGCTGCGCTGTGCCGCCGTCCGGTGGGGGAGGGGCGGAGGGGGTGGGGCCGACCGCGCGCTTCCGGCCGCGCGCCAGGGCATTGAGTCCGCTGCCCGCCCGCCGTAAACAGAGTGGAGCGCGGGGCGGGGCGGGGCGGGGCGCGGCGTTCGCTCCCGAGCGGGTAGGCCTGTGGATAAGGACACGGATCTGTGCGCCGTACGTGGCTGCGGCGGCCGATCGGGAAGAGGGAGGGCGGCTGCCTGTCACCCGGCTCCAGGAAGGCGGTCCTCCCGCCTAGATGGCGGGGAAGCCTAGGCCGCTGACCGTGTGAGGCAAAGTGCTGTGCTCTGCCCTCACGGCCGGTTCTCAGCTGACCCCCGCGGGGCGCGCCGCGTAGCCACTGTGGTGTAGACTGCGCTCTCCTCGCTGCCATGTCCCTTTCAGGAGGGTGATCAAACTCGACCCGTGTCCGACTCCGGTGTAGGGCTTACAGGTGTGCGCCGCCAAGTCCTGTTTATGCCTTACGATTGTTTCGTCTTTCGGGTTTGAGATAGAGCCTCCTGAGCGGCCCTCAGACTCTAGACCAGTCTGGCCCCCAGCGCGTCCGGCCTAAGTCAGCTTTTTTGGTTTTGTTTTTTTTACTTGAGACTGGGTCTTGTGCTATATTCCTAGCTGGCCTTGAACTCAGGGCAGGCTAACTACGCCTGCCTCCCGCGTGCTGGGATTACAGCCTGAGCCCCCACGCCCTTCAGGAAGAGCTTTGGTCCACTAAAGTTCAAGAGCGCCTTGACGTCCGAGACCATTTCAGCGTAGCTGTGCTCGGGGTCTGTAAAATTAGCCTCACCTCGGGTAAGAGTTTGGAAGGTATTTACGTTCGCAATTTTTTTTTTTGAGAGAAGGTCTCATCATGTAGCCCTGGCTTGCCTGGAGCTTGCTATGTAGACAAAGCTGGTCTTAACCTCACAGAAATCTGCCTGCCTCTGCCTCCCGAACGCTGGAATTAAAGGCTTGCACCACATCGTTAGGCCGAAGATGTTTTTATTAAAAATACTAGTCCTCCCCCCTCATTCTGTCTCAATTAGAATGTAACTCTCAACTGTAGAGTTTCCCTAGTAGTCACAGGGTTTGATCTCCAGCGCTTGAAACAGAACATGGGATTTTAGAAGCAGTACTGTCCTAAAATTGAATTTAATAGTGTTTGTGGTTCTATGATGGTTTGGTCTGATATGACTGCAGCACTACTGTATTACCTTCAGAAAATCCTCTGATGAATTTCCAATTCTAATATAAGGACTACTAGATAGTAGTCTCTTCAAAAAATTACCTTCAGAAAATCCTCTAATGAATTTCCAATTCTAATATAAGGACTACTAGATAGTAGTCTCTTCAAAAAATTACCTTCAGAAAATCCTCTAATGAATTTCCAATTCTAATATAAGGACTACTAGATAGTAGTCTCTTCAAAAAATTACCTTCAGAAAATCCTCTAATGAATTTCCAATTCTAATATAGGGGGTAATATCTATAAATTCCCTTGTGCCTCAGTTGCTCTGTTTCTGAAGTGGGGTGAATTTCTTTACCCCAAGTGCTGCTGTTTCTTTACATTTTGTTAGTTTTAGGTAACTAGATCTAAGTAGGCATGTGGATTTGTTTACATTGATGATGTGAAGGCAGTATAGGGAAGGGATGTTATCTTTGACTTCCTGTGGCTAACATTCTGGTGGAGAAACAGAAAAAACAGGCCATTACAATGCTATTGTGAGTGCCATAAGGATGGAAAACATTAAAGGAACACAGTCAGCTTCTAGACTAGTCTAGAGAGAGTCCTGAAGGTTTGTGTAGAAGTGTAAGTCATAGAAAAAAGCCTCCCAAGGAGGAAGGAGCTGAGTGTTTGCAACATAGTGAATAGCATATATGAAAGCCTCAAGGTGAGGAAGGGCAAACCAGGCAGAAATTTGGGCTCTAAAAGATTCAGTGTGATTGCCAGATGTGGTGACTCGTGCCTTTAATTCCAGCACTTGGGAAGCAGAGGCAGGTGGATATCTGAGTTCAAGGCCAGCCTGGTCTACCTGGTGAGTTCCAGGACAGCTGGGGCTACAGGGAGACCCTGTCAAAAAAAAAAAAAACAAACCCCCAAAGATTCAGTGTGACTGATAGTGATTTTGAAAGGAGATAATAGGGTTCAAGTTGTGGAAATAAATGTCCAGTAAGGGGGCTCCTAACCCTGACCTTACCAAAGTTTAGCGTCTTTTTCAGGGAAGGAAACTAAGACCCCTTCGACTGATCAGATGAGAATACTGTACTTTATAGTTACTGTTTACTACATGAAGGTCTCTTGCCTTTAGCACACATTAGTCTGAACAGGCCCCTGTCCTTAGGGGGCTTAAAACTGGGGAAAAAGCACTTGGAAGGCAGAGGCAGGCAGATGTCTGTTAAATGGAGGCCACCTTGATCTACATAGTTCCAGTCCAGTTAGGGCTACAGGGAGGTCCCATCTCAAAAAGACAAAACAAAAACACCACAATAAAATGTCACCTCATACCTATTAAAATGGTTAATACTAAAACAGAAAAAATGGGCAGTGTTGGCAAGGATATGGAGAAATTAGAATCCTTATTCTAGGGTATTGGTAGGCGTGTAAAATGGTACAGTTGCATAGTTCCTCAAAACATTTAACACAGAATAATGAAGTGATCCAGAAGTTTCTTATTTATATACAAAAGAATTAAAAGCAAGGTCTTGAGATAGTTGTGAATCCATGTTTCATAGCAGCCTTATTCACAACAGTCAAAAGGTAGAATCAACTTCCAATATTTATCAGATGAATAGATAAGCAAAACATGGGAGATACATTCCTGGGGTGTCATGTCAGAGTATGGATGAATTGAACACATTTTGCTCAGTGAAGTAATGCAGTCACAAAACACATTCTGATTCTCCTTGTGTGGGGTACCTAGAGTACTCAAAACTGTTAGAAACAGAAGTAGATGGTATTTGCCAAGGGCTTGGGGAAGAAATGGAGTTATTCAGTGGGCATAAAAAAGTTCTAGAGGTTTAGTTGTGGATATATTTAACACTGATGATGCCGAGTATGGTGGAGCATGCCTTTAATTCCAGGTAGATCTTTGAGTTTGAGGCTGGCCTGGTCTACATAGGAAGTTCCAGGCTAGCTAGGGCTGAATAGTGATACCCATATGTAGCCCTGGCTGGTCTCTAAAACCAAAAATGGCTAAGATGAGAAATTTTCCTGTGTATTTTATACAATTTAACTATTTAGAAAGTGATGATAACTAGGTACCTTCTTTTAGCATCACTGACACAATATGAAGTTTAAGCATATTTTTTAAAAAATCTTTTACTTATTTTGTATGAGTGTTATGCCATTTGACATAATCAGTATGATTATTAGTCTTTAGAATCTCTTTAAAATGTAATTTTATTTATTTACTTATTTTTGGTTCAACTTTTCATAAATTTCTATATGAAATGATACATAGAGATTCTTAGCCTGGAAGAGAGAAATGCCCATGTCCATGGATAGGAAGGCTCTTTATATGTAGTAAGCATTCTGGTATCTAAGGGTTCAAAACAATCCAAAGAACATGCAACGATAGTCTCTATTTCTTTTCTTCTTTCTTTTTTTTTTTTTTTTTTTTTTTTTTTTTTTTTTTTTTTTGAGAATTTCATATATGCATATAAGGTAAGGTGTTTTGATCAAATCCATGCCCACTCCCTCCCCTCCAACATTCCCCCCTCTGAAGAGGTAACCCTAAAATCTTTTAAGG